TTTGATAAAATAAGCTCTATTGAGGTTTCCCCCCCCCTTCATTTTGCTATAGAAAATAGATTGAGGATTGAGGGATGATATTTTCTTTCATTTTAATTATTTATTTTTAAACAGAATCTAAGATGTTTTAAGTTGATTTATTAATTTATTAACATCATAAGAAAGTTTATTAGGTGTTTTCAAATAAAAATAAATTAAAAATTATGTTTTTTAGGGTAAAAAATCACCAACTTATTTTTCCAACCACTTGTCTTGTGGTCAAAAACTAGGGAAGCAAGTAAATAAAAATAAATAACATATTGTTTATTTTCATTGATAAAACAAAAAAGCAGAAAGAAAGACTAGGTACACAGGCCTGCAGGCCTATATGCATACTTTTTTTTTAATAGGTCAAGTGTTCTCGACCACTAGGTCTAGATATTGACACTATTTTTAGGTTTAATTTAATATTTATATTAAAATCAAATGAATTAAAATATATTAATTAAATGTATGTGTGGGATGCCTAACCTATTATGTATTTGATTTTATTTAAGATTAATTAAAATAAATAAATATAACAATTTTTAGTGATTTTTTTAATAAAATTTCTTAAATTTTTACATGGTTTACAAATAAAACTGTAACATTTTTCCTAATGTTAATAGACACTTTTTTTATGCAATCCAACATAATATTTTTATTTTATTTTATTCATATCTTTATTATGACTGTTAATTTTTATTATTATTTGATTAAGTAAAAAATTAAATAAAAAAATACTAAATACATCAAGTTCATGACCCATGTTACAAGAACAAGTATTTTGTTTCACATATTTCTCTTGATTTTTTAGTTAAGTCTTTAGTACATTAATTTTTTGCATTTATTGACGAGGATGATTTTTTATTTATTTAATTAAATGAGTTATCAAATTTTTAATCTATGATATATATATATATATATATATATAAGGCCTTAAAACACTTGCATATCATGTTTTTGTTTAAAAAAAAAATTATCTTATTCATGACAAAGCGTGGACCAAATAGCTTGTTACATTCTACACTGATTTCATTTCATTAAAAAATAAAAGCATTTATCTTATAATATAAAAATCTCAATATCTCTTTATGGCACATCATCATCAAACTTGAGAGTAATTTATCACTCAACATGATAATAATAATAATAATATTAATATTAATAATAATAATAACATAACTCAAAAAGTATTTAAAAAAAACAATACAATTAAGATAATCATGCATGGTATTTGTGATTTATTAATTGCAAGTGTCATATATAACTCTTTTAAATTGTTAAATAGCATAATACAATTTACAATAAAAAAAAATAGAAAAGAGAAAGAAAGAAAGAAAGAAAAAGACTCCGAAATAAATCAATACCCCCTCCACATGAGCTACAGTGATATGAAAGTGAGAGGATGCGTGCCCTACAAAGTTTCTCTAACCTCTCAACAGTCATGCTATGGTGTTTTTTTTTTTTTTTCTACGGCTTTATGATTTGATGTAATTATGAGATGTAAATATTATAAGAAATAAAATATGGCGATTATCGTAACTGAGTTTTTAGTAAATAAATAATCAATGTTTAATAAATATATACCTGCTGGGTTCTTTAAGTAATTTCCACAACCACGCATCTAAGATCAGTAGGAGAAACAGAGGCTGCATGCTTAATCAGTTCTTACACAGTCAAAAGCTCATCTGGGCCAAGATAGTGAAGGGCATATAAATTTGCATTAAAGAACCCCACTGAGCCAGCAGACTTTCCCTAAATGGAAAGCCCTAACCACCACCACGACGGAACCCTAATGGTGCCGTGTCATTGATGGGCCCCCCAAGAAAATAACGTGCGTGGCTTTATAAATGATATGGTACTACTACAAGTTGGTGCAGCTGCCTTTATTCCTTTCAATCTCTCTAACCTATTTTGCATCTGATTGTGGTTATTTTTCTTTTTGGGTAAGAAGGGGTGTTTGTTTATGGGTTCTCAAAGGAAGGGAAAGCTATTCACATGGTCATGCCAATTCTGCTAATTGTTAGCAAGTTTGTCCAACCCTGTGACACCCTTTACAGAAATTTGCAAAATAGAGGAAATTAATTAGTGGTTTTGACAAGACTGAGCAATTGTAGAGTAATCTCACCCACCATACAACTACTCGTATGATTTTGCTTGGTAGAGACAGTCCAATCCTTATAAAAACTGTATTTTTAAAAAGAAGGGGAAAATGTGTTTTTTGGCATTGTTTTAGAAAATTTATGTGTATTTTTTTGAAATATACAATAAGTTTGTAAAATTTTATAGGGATTTGGCTAACATTTCAATATATAACCTTGAATATTTTAATTCATGCAAATTAATAGTTAATTGTAAATTTTTATAGGGATCTGCTAACATTTCAATATATAACCCTAATTATTTTAATTCATGCAAATTAATAGTTAATATTTTAATATAAATATTAGATTCACTAATAGGCTGATATTTAAGTACCAGGATTAACTAGAAAATTTTTAGAATTATTTTAAATATTCATCAATTTTAATTAAAAGTATTTTTCACCACAATAAACGAGTTGTGGAAAATATTTTCGCATTCTAAAATACTTGAATTCTGTTAGGATACTTACATACATTCTTCTTATAAAAATATATTTCTTATAAAAATATATTTGGACATATGAGTTCATAATAAATTTAAAATATTAAATTTATTAATGAGCTTAAATTTTTATTTTAAGCCATGAATATTAGTTAAAAACTTATTAACATCTTTAAATCATATTCATATCATATAAAACAACTTACCTCAAGTAATAAATACTAAAAATACTTATGTTATTTCTAATCACAGGTAATCTTTTACCATGAAATTGTAGATCTAATCCATTTGAAACTATTAATGACTCTCAACTAAATAATTAAATGGTAACTTCTTGATCTTGATACGCTTACGGGCGACATCTAGCATGAGTGCTGACCGGGAGAAACAAAAACATGATGAACTGGAAGAGTTTCAATCTGCTTGCTTCTAAAAGTAAATTATTTTATGTTTTCAATGATTGGATTGTCTAAGTACCAGTTTAATCGCGGATCATTTATCTCAACGGGATCAAGAAAAAATTGGGTTTTGCACGCAAAACCTGTCCTCAGAATATCTTGTCCAAGAAAAAAATCCAAGTTATTATATTGCTTGATGATCAATCTATGAGTTGTAGAATTAATTCAAAACAATCATTTTTCAAGTTAAATGAGCAGTTAATCAATCAAATTTGACCTAATCTTTTTGTTTTTGCCAGTTTAAATTAAAACCTGCTAAAAAAATTATGTCGCAGAGGATTGAGTTTTATGATCACTCTGACCAGGGGATATGGTTTAATAAGCAGATTGTGGGGGGCAAGAGTAAATCAAAGAAAGAAAAAGAGAGCATGGGGGACCAATGACCCAACACTTGAGAGGGCTAAGGACATATGCCCGATGGATCAATTGACATGCAAAAACTCCTTATCCAATAAATAAAAAGTAACCGATACTA